CGAAGATATTTCGAAAACAGTAACAGAGTAAGGAACAAGACCAACAGATCAATCCATAAATTATTTAACGAAACTGCTGTTGTCATTGCAAATAGAGACAAACATGCAAAATATCAAGAACATTAGTAAAAGACATAAAATCATTGAATGGGTCTATGTCTTTTGCTAATGTCTACATTAGAAGTAGTACATGAAAACTTATTTCTCAAATGTAATGAGGAATGTAAAGCTACATTGGATGGACCTGATAACTGGCCAAAAGCTAGGTTTTTCATGGATATATTCAAACTATACGACTTAGAGAACTAGAGTTATAAGTGTATTAAATTTTCCGGCCGAGAAATTACGATTATAACTCTATGGCTATGAAAATATCTCTGATTTCTTGAGCTGACTTCCGACGTCTGTCGAACTCTCTGCGTTGGCAGAGAGGAACCCGGACGAGGCTTTGCCGAAGGGCAAGGTTTCGTCCGGGGAGGTAGACAGGGCCTGAACCCGTCTAATCGTCTTCAAAAGGCTATTTTTTTGGCCGAGCCTACGGGCTCGGAGAAACCCACAATAAAACCGGCCTTGTGCCATATTCGTTTCCCGTGGGTGAAATGATAAATACCGAAAATATCTCTGATTCTCATGTGTCAGAGGATATTCTCGAACAAATTCTGCATATTTCCCCAGTATGTTTTCATGTTTCTGTTTCACGCTGTGGTTTACCGGAACAAGTATTATTATTATTATTATTATTATTATTATTTTACTTACCTCCAGGACATTCTGCATCATTATTGCAAAAGACAATGCAAGGTGTTATCAAATCCTTAGCCGGAATAGGGCAGTAACCATATTTATCTGTAACATAACAAAACAGAAATTACTAAATTGCTCTAAATACGCATGCGTTGATGGTTGTTATCATCAACTGAGATCAGCAGAAACAAACGAAACAAGTACCAACAGTGAAGTGAAAGGAAAAGACAGCAACTGTTAATATAAAACTCTTTGTTACCGATAGAGAGGATGTGAGCGGAATATATCTTTGTGAACAAGGGAAACAATTTGGAGATGAACAGCAATTGATGCTCAGAAACCCTGCACAGAGGACGACTTTTTATTTTTGGTTTTGCTTGCTTAATACTTATATGTAGATTGAATAAGAAAGAGATATAATTTAATGTGGAATATAACAATTAAATCTTTTCCAAATATACAGTCATCATTCATTCATTGATGATTCAAGTTTATATGACTTAATAGCAACTCCAAGATTCATGAGGTTACAGTTTACTAGCATTCTTGAATCCACGTCCTGGAGTATTTAGGAAATAATAATATAATATCTATTCCTAAATTTGCTATTGTTATCGGGATGTCGGTTTAATGCTTAATTCATCTTAATTCATAATTTATTGTTGTTTTGTTAGTTTTTGTTTGTTTGTTTTTTTTTTTTTTTCATAGTTTATGTGATTTCGTATTTTTGTGTTACTGGCAATAATTTGTCGGATTACTGTTGTATTTTATTGCCGTGTTTGCTGGTGATATACGATTTAAGTAATAAGTTCGCAGATAAAGTACACGTTAATTAGGTCGATAATGTAATCGTTGGGTTACCAATGTATATGTTATTTAAATTATTATTATTATTATTATTATTATTATTATAGGGCCATTCTCCAAGTGGGCAAGTTAATTCATGGACTATATTAGTTTTTTGAAGTTTTAATTTTTGTCATATTGTTGGGGGAGGTGTTGGAGGTTATTAGTTTTTTGTAACAATGATTTACTAAATATAGTTTAGATGTTGCACAAGGCCGAAAGTAAGGTGCACCCAGTAAGGATCGAACTCACTAACCAGTCGTAATTGTTTTTATTCGGAGTGCCCTACTTATTTTCTAATTGTAATGAGTTTAATGTTTCTCTATACGTTTATATGTATCCATGTAGTAGATTTCTTATATATATATATATATATATATATATATATATATATATATGTGTGTGTGTGTGTGTGTGTGTGTGTGTGTGTGTGTGTGTGTGTGTGTGTGTGTGTGTGTGCTTATATATGTGTATATGTGGATGTGTATAGATGGGTATGTATATATGTATATATGGATGTATGTGCGTATGTCTTCGAATATGTATATGTATTTATATCTTAATCTCTTGGAATGTATCATCAATACTAAAATCAACTTTAATAATGATAGTGGTTTTATAATTGCTTATAGACTTAATCAACAATTGTGTCTCGTTACATTTTAATATTATATGGACTTTACTGTCCTTTATTGCCACTAAGATAATATTGATAGAATATATGTGTAGGTTTATGTATGTATATGCCTATTTATGTGTGTATATATATATATGTGTGTGTGTGTATATATATATATATATATATATATATATATATATATATATATATTTATATATTTACGTTTACGTTTGTATGTTTATATATTTATATATATATATATATATATATATATATATGCGTGTGTTTGTATATGTATATATATGTTTGTGTGTTTCTATATATATATATATTTTATATTATATATATATATATATATATATATATATATATATATATATATATATATGGTTTGTTTACTTTTTATGTTGCTGTGTGGGTTGTATATCAAATCGTCAGAGAAATTGCCATGAAAATATTTGTAGAAGAGACAGAGGAAAGCCACATTAGATGTGTGAGAATGTGACTGAAGTCAAGATGCCAAGTCAGGATCGATTATATGGCAGGTCCTTCTTGGTAATTTGTCAAGAACCTCGATATAAATAGCAGGTGTTCCAGACCAGATATGGCAACAGTATTCAATACGCGAATGGTAGATTTGTAAATGTGCAAGATGGACTCAAACGAGAAAAAAACATCTGTCACGACACAGTGAACCAAATTTCCTTGCAGTAGATGCAACTATTGATTCAATATAGTCATTCCACTTCAAGTCAGCTGAAAACGTGAGGGCAAGAAGGCGCAGTGTGTTGCTCTCCATGAGACTAACATCCGCCATATTGATGCCGGACATGAAATTTTCTCTAGTTGTTATATAAGCGCAATTTCGTTTCAGGGCATTGTACACGTAATTTCCTTTTCCATTTAACCAATGATTAGAGATCCTTTTCAAGAGTGGAGCCGATGTTAACTTTGTCTGCTCTGACGTATTTGCGATTGAGCCAGGAATAAATGTTAGTATCATCTTCATAAATGCCTACTTGGAAATTGATGATATCAGGAAGATCATTGCTGAAGCATTGGACCCAGGATAGAGCATTGGGTGACAATAAGGGTTAAAAGTATAGTCGAAAGCGCTCGGAATTATAGAACATTTGGACAGTTTTCTACACATTTGTTCGAAATATATATATATATATATATATATATATATATATATATATATATATGTATATATATATATATATATATATATATATGTATATATATATATTTTATATATATATATATATATATATATATATATATATGTATATATATATATATATATATATATATATAAATATATATATATATGTATATATATATATTAAAATATATATATGTATATTATATATAAACATATATATATGTATATATATATAAAACTTATATATATATAAACTTATATGTATATATATATATATAAATATATATATATATATATATATATATATATATATATATATATATATATATATAAAAATATATATATATATAAACATATATATATATAAACATATATATATAAACATATATATATATATATATATATATATATATATATATATATATATATATATTCCTCCAACCCTGTCCTTTCGAAAACTCGGTCGCATTGCAACAGATTCTCGAAATCAGTCGAGATTTTCTGTACATGACGCTTGCTTAAATAAAACTGTAATATGACGTAGAAAATCATGGCTCTCCACATTTTCCTTTACTTTTTTTATCTGTGAAGTAGCCTGATTACTTCGGAAAGACAGTAGAGTGATTTCCTATTGACTTCTCCCATTTAGAATTCAGTGTTGGTTGCCACCTAAAACTAGAGAACCCACTTTAGCCAGTTCTTCTTCCGCAACTTAAATAAATACCCATAGGTTGGAGACGAAGAAAGAGAGTCATACTTTTTCCAAGATTATTAATGTCAAATGAACGCAACAAAACTAGGCTGGAGCTTGAACTCTGTTCGCCGATTCCACTTTCCGCGCCAAAAACGGTTCCGCTACCCACTCATCCCCGTTAAATACTTACGTATTGGCGCGACAGCTGTCGGTTTGACACATTTTTTGGAACATAAACTCATGCAACATTTTCTTCCTGAAAAAATAAGAAGAGTATTTTTTGTAGAAAATAGCATTTTATACATTGCCAGCGAGTTTTTTATTTACTGATTTAATGTTAATTTTTTACGGTTTATCAAAGTAAATGTGATTTATTTAAGGCCGAAATTTATTTCTTATAGAAGGAGGTTGCTAACAGTACTCGGTGTTCCCAAGCAGTTCCTCATGTAAGTAATCAGTGCAAAAGATTGGGCAAAGATGGAACTTCGTGCAGGTATAAAAACGTAGTTTTAAAAGGAGGTATTTTTTAATTACATCGCTTAAAAAAGCGGTGTAATGCGAAAAAATTCTCCTTTCATTCTACCTTCACTTTTCGGAAATGTTGTTTTAAAAAGTGATGATTAGAATTGGAATAAAGCACAAACATATGATGAAAGTGAATTTTTACATTTTTTGCTGTTCTTAAGAATTTACAACAAAAAATATTAAATACTATTTGTTTATTAGATTGTTTATTTACAAGAATAATTTTATATATACAACATTCTAAATACTAAGAAAATTAGAAGAAATGCATTTCCCAGATATTTAAACTGTTGTCTATTTTTGATTTTGGTATCTACAATTTGTAATTTACATGTTGGGCCTTTCCTTTTACTAACAACTATGTATTCTGACTTTTTGCAATTGAAGATTAGTCCTATCTTCTCGCTCTTCTCCACTACTATCTGGAGGAGCTCTTGCAGTTTCCTTTCTGTGTCTGCTACTGGATGCTAGAAAGACTTCAACATTAGAAAAGGCATAGCATGGACTGCTTGTAACAAAATGGATAAGATCTGGAAATCCAATCTTGCTCGTCAATTCAAAATCCAACTTTTCCGCGTACTTATTGAGCCAATCTTACTCTATGGTTCTGAAACTTGGACTCTCTCAGCAAAACAACAGCGTCGTTTAGATGAATGTTATACACGTCTTTTAAGAAGAGTGCTTAATCTGTCATGGCGAAACCACCCAAATCTAGAAATGATATATGGAGACTTGCCGAGAGTATCAACCTTAGTTTGCAAAAGACGTGTCCAGTTCGTCGGGCATTGTGCACGTGGCACAGATGAACTTGTGTCATCATTTGTACTCTGGAGGAACCCATCATCTGACAATCGATCACGCAAGTTAACCTTTCCAGATAGGATAAAACGAGACACATTGATCCCTAAGGAAGATCTTTTAGGTGCTATGACAGATAAGGAATACTGTAAAAGTGTAGTGAGTTCAATCTCGGCTGAGGCCGCAAGATGATGATGATGACTGGATGCTAATTTAGTGCATTTCAATATAGCTTAGCTACGCCAATAATTAGTGTTGCAATCCTGACAAAAAAAATAAGGATTTCATATGCTGATTCTCAAGGCAAAAAGGTTTGTTTTGTTTTTGTTTTTTGTTTTTATGTTTGTTTGTTTGTTTGTTTGTTTTTTGTTTGCTTGTTTTTTGAAAACACGATCTTTTGATCTATAGCCTCTTTTATTAGGTTTTCGGCTTTACAATGACCAACTTATAAAATCTAAAAATCTAAAAGCGGTTCTGATAACGTATATATAAACTTACCTGCCGGACATTCTTCGTCCCTTTCACACTCAGCTCGACAGAGTGGGGGTAGAATGGTGAGACAATCAGAACTGGACCCTACATTAGAGGAGAAAAACATTACATACCGCAAGCAATTTTATCGATCACTAAAACCTTTTCATGATATTTACCTGCCTGGTAGTTTCCCAATAATATTATGGTAGAGTTCCTATCCACCCAGGCAATAGCTCTCCTTGAGTTATTACCCGGCGCTTGGAGCGTCCTCCAAAATGGGGAAATGCTGGATATTAGCTTGAGCAATTTTCTCTGGTATTGTCGTTAATAACCAGTGATGGTTACTGGGGAAGTACAGCAATAACTAGTCTTGTTGGATGACCAAGCACTGATAAGTCCACCTATCTAGGAAGTAAAATCTCACGAAATGGTGACTCGACGAAAGCTGTGACGAAAAGAACTGGAAAATCTGCAGGCGTCGTCCAGCCTATGAGATCGACATGATCTAACAGTTCCTTCAGCCAGAGTACTAAACTCCAGCTGTATAATTCTATTGTCATACAAACGGCAGCATATGCGCGTCGAATGTCAGACATGAATGTTGAAATCAGGCATGGATGGTCATGTATTGAGGTGAAATCAACTGGGGAATGAAGTTAAGATAAGAGAAAATAAAACTTTAGTATACGACAGCTGAAGGATTCGCTGCATGTTGTGACAGTCTTCTCAATCGACCTCATATAGAGATTAATAGAATCTGGGAGACACAGAATAAAAAGGAAAAAAAAAAGAACACCCAATGATTCCTTACACGTTAGGGTTAAGTCTCCCAAACTAGACTGTCCAAGTGGATAAAGGCGTTGGTTAAAGCATATATGATTTGTGGCAGTCGTAAGTTAAATTACTGAGTCGGATCTTGCAGTAAGGTCATTGATTCTTGCTCAATGAAAGAAACGGGCAATCAACACAAATGTGCATGAGCTGGAGAGATTTGATACGAGATTTTCCTTAAGCATTCAAAGAGAAATGAGAACTTTCTGCTTCCATGCATTGAATGCTGTTTTCAGTTCAGCATTCTGAAAATGTTAACGAGTACGATAGACAACGAAACTTTGTAAGTATAACAACAAAGATATGCTGGTCGGAATAGTAAGGCATATAAGAATGAAAGAATGAAAGAAAAAAATGAAAGAAAGACGAAAGGAATGAAAAATATGGAAAGATGAAATGAAACAAAATATTGAAGAAAGATGAAATGGAAGAAAAAGTGGAAGAAAGACGAGAGGAAAGAAAAATATGGATGAAAGGTGCAAGGAAAGAAAAAATGGCATAAAGATGTAAGAAAAGAAGGAAAGAAAAAATGGAAGAATGTGACCGAAAAGAAAAATATGGATGAAACAAAATATGGAATAAACATGACCCAATGATTAAAGGCGTTGGTTAAATCCAGTGACTAGACCCAAAGATTTGGGAATTCAATACCAATCTACAGCAGTGGTGGACCAAAAACTTGGAGAGTTATAAGGGAAATAACTGAGACATCCGGAAGTGGCATGGCACGTGGAACTAAAGCAATCGACCCCGGTGGACAAAATAAATGGTTCGGTTCGAAATTCCAATCACCTGAAGTAG